AATTAAGACTATTACACAATCAACAGTTGCTATTTCCTTATTACAAGAGGATATACTGTATCTACTCCTAAGCCAGCTACTGATCTGATTAATGATAGGCTGGCACTGGGATGTAAGAAGGAGACTATTCATTTGCATTAGCATTGGAGAGGCTAGCAACTAGCATCCCTAGGCTAGTGACCCACTGGATTGCAAACTCCCTCCGCTATCCATTGGCATGGATAGGCTGGTGTTAGCATTGAAGAGGCTAACAACAAGCATGCCTAGTAGACACAAACTTTTTTGAATAAAGAAAACTTTCTCAATAACCTTTCTTTTTAAAGGTAGCACAACCCCTGCTGGTTGCTGCAAGACCTGATCACCTGTTCACCCATGTTTTTGTCGTGTCTTCTTGAAAGGGTGTTCTTAAATGTAATTTCATTGTGCTCCGTACAATGACAATAAAGGCATCAATCAATCAATCAATCAATCAATCAATCAATCAATCAATCAATCAATCAATCAATCAATCAATCAATCAATCAATCAGTCAATCAATCTATCAAAAATGGTTAACATACAAAACCTATAAGCAACATGCACTGACAGGTGTTCCCTAGAATTTACTGTTCAACATGACGTCAAGCATAAAATTGAACATTACATTATATTAGGCTACATTACAAATTACTATGAAGCAGACAGCTTTATTATCACTGGACATATCTGTAAATGACATTATAAATTAACTCAGTACAGAGAAGTGTAATTTATTATCTTGTCAAAAACTGTAAAAAGTCCCAACTTGATGGTTCTGGATCTTCTGCTGTCGGCCAGTAGACAAGAGCAAACGCAGCTGCTAATTCTGGTGGTAACTAAAGCTGCTTGCTTAACACGTATATGTTTTATGTAGGCATGATAGTCGCTAGCCTCTCCAATGCTAACGCCAGCCAATCCATGCTAGTCGCTAGCCTCTCCGATGCTAACGCAAATGAAGAGGCTGTGTTTCAGTTCATGKGCTGCATCCTCATGAGTTCACATTTGTCGGCTGCATACGTCACTGYCCCGCGCCGAGTGCTGTCCCAATTCGAAGGCTCTTCATCATGCGTCCAAGGAATGTGGCCCACGAAATCTCGAAAACTAAGGATGCATCAGAAGAGTATCCTTCCCGGCCGAGGATATCCCAGGATTCAATGCACCAACAGCAAACTAAACAAAGAAATGAAGATTGTGGAGTTTTTATTTTTATTTTTTACCAAGTCAGCGTAGTTTGGAAGTACTGAAGAATTTTTTAAAAAATGTAAGTTTAGCAACTTAGCTGACGAAATTTATGTTGCAATAAGACGTTAAATAAAAAAAATGCAACTACAAGTTCCAATACTGGAGCTAAATTCAAATCCTTAACATTTTTTCTATTTTTTACTATTTCCTATGGTAACTGGGTAACGCGTGGTCACGCAAATTTACATAAAGCAAAGGCTAGACCATCTCATTTCACAGCAGTTTTATGCCCGGACTGTGAAGAATGTGGCACATGAGGATGCAGCTCATTAATTGAGACACAGCCATGGTCTCCTTCTCAGTTACCAGTGCCAGCCTATCATCAATCAGATCAATAGCTGGCTTAGGAATAGCTATAGCCCCCTGCTACAAGGGTGTTTATAGCAACTGCTGGTTGCGCAATAGTCTTAGTTTTGGCCCTCATACCATGCCAYRCCAGAGCAGTTAAATTGTAGCTCACCATCACAGTGTGAAAGTGCGTTGGAATCCGTAGGGAATAGATGAATTACTATATAAGTTCAAGCCATTTATCACTTTACCATTTATCAAAAAAACATCAACATTATTATTCATTTCTCTAGGTGCAATAACCACAATTGGATAGTACATTTATAGTACTTTTTTGTGAATGGTACAATTGGGCACCTTGCAGTAGCTGGGCTCATACTTTAGTGGTGATTTCATGATATAATGAAAATAAAGTGATTCTGGTTCTGAAGCCTTAAACACCAACACAGCTAGAACATGACAAGGATGAATAAAAAGTCTCTAATGGTGCGRCGGGCTAATCTGAACCGTCTCAGAGGAACGAGTCAGGAGACAAATGAAGACGTGACAGTTTCCTTTCATAAGCAGCTTCCCCTCAGACCCTGCAGAGAACCTGAAAGAACGCGGCGTGTTTCCAGCCGCTAAGGTGCCCTGTGCTAATTGAGACGATGAGCTTGGTGACCCCCGCCTCCCCTTCACAGGACTCTCCTGGTTTGTTCCCAGGCCTCTTGGCTGCTTCCTTTGGTCCTTCAATGGGATTATGTTGGACTGTAAGAAGAAGAGAGAGAAATAAAGGGGGGGGGGGGATTTTGAGTCTAATACCAGGGTGATCACATCAGAAAGAGCTGCCAGGGTTTTAACATGAATCCTGCTCCTTCAACTGCTCTGCGGAGGAACATCATGAGACAGCGGGGGCGAGKGTGGGAGGGGGCGAGAGACAGAGGAGGTCCACTGAAAGGGACAGTCACGTTAATTTTGACATGATGTTTTATCAAATAGTCATCAATAGTTATCCACAGGGCCACATCTGATCCCCTCCTGTGTGCCAGGCAGCCCACAGTCTCCACATAGCCAAGAGCAAACCCCCCACTGGTAGGGGGTGGGCATGTGGAAGCCCTCTCTATGGAGATGCAGTGAGAACAGGCATATTGACCATTTAACCAGATTAAAAAGCGAGACCATAGCTGTCTATAGCTTGGAGACAGAGTGACCCCTACCACCCCGGGTTACCGATATCCCAACTAATCCCTCAGATGGTTATTTATTTACTCAGCCTATAGAAGGGAGTGTATGTGTGTGTGTGACGTGTGTGTGTTGGGTGTCTAACTTTGTCCCAGAGTTTACATAAGATCAAACCAGCTGGGGACGTAACATGAAAYGATGGGAGTAGTAAAGATCTGCAGCAGAGATCATAATGGAGAGGTTTTAAAGTGAAGAGGATGGAGGGATTATTATTTCTGCAAACGTTAAGTTATTGTTTGTTTAATCCGAGCTGCTGAGGCTGCTTGTGTTTTGTCCTTTGGTTTTTTTACTTGAATCAGGGTTTCAGCACATTTTCTGTCATAAAAGTGTCCTTCAAGATATGTTCAAAGGTTTCTGTGAAAATGTTTGCCATGTGAATGTTTATACCATGGTGCTTTTATTGTTGTGAAACCTGAAAGCAATCAYCTGCTTCCTTTCAGGTCAGAGTTTTAAACCAAGATTGTGACGAACTTGTAGACTTCTTGGTCAAACCATGAAAATAAAATTGTGCACAATCTTAAGGGCTTTTGCGATATCTCATGTGATCTGTTCATGCTTGAAGCATACATTTTGTATAACTCTGTTACAACCACACCTGATTTCAGTTCAGTATCGAAATAACAGTTATTATGGTCAGTTTTGTGGTTTTTATTGTCACTTGGTCATGGCAATCATCTTGAATTGACTCCAAATGTTAGATTTACATTCCATGATTACTTTCTGAAAGTTTCATTTAAATTCATCCAATCATTTGTTGACAGACTGACAGACACGGGTAAAACCATCATATCATCCTTTTAAGGCTGGCAACACAATAGTTACAGTTTTTGTAAAATATGATGATTGATCTGCAGGTGCAGCGTGTTTCTGTTTCTAAAGGTCACGGACCCTACATTGAATTGGAAAAATACACTGCTCAAAAAAATAGATAAATAAAGGGAACACTTAAACAACGCACGCTAAGTCCAACTAAATCAAACTTTTGTGAAGCACATTCAACTCTGTACAGAACAAAGTACTCAATGCAAATATTTCATTGATTAAGATCGGGAGTTAGCGTGCGTTGTTTAAGTGTTCCCTTCATGTTTTTGAGCAGTGTATATTTTTTTACCAATTATGTGAAAACCCTTTCTAAGCATATTTCTTATTTCCTACTTAGACAAGTTGTAGCAGCATRTTTGGTTACAAAATGTCTTCCTGATATTGTGGTATACATCAGACATAAACCTGCATGTGACAAAATAACTATATGTAATTTAAGTTTTGGTTTTCTTTAAAATTATTTTTGTTCAATCTGGTTCAAGAACCTTAAAACTGCAAAAAAAGTTTAAATGCATAGCTACAGCAAACATCTAAGATGATTCGTTTAGATTTTATTTTCATTCATCTAATAAAATGCTGTTTGCGATGTTTTTTTTACCCTCAATATTACTATTATTATTTTTTGAGGGCATCAAGGGCTTTTGAAGAGAGTTCAGCGACCAGATTCTCAATGAAAAAAAAAAAACTGATGGTTAAAACCTTGACCTCAAGACATGATGAGACGCAAAGTAAACATCATGCAGAAAAATGTAAAAAATGTTGTTTTTGGTTGAGCAAATTTGAAAAAAAAAATCAATTTAATCGATTAGAAAATAAAATTAGAAATCAATTCTGAAAATATTATTTCTTCATTTTCTGTTTTCATTTTTCTTCACTTCTCCAGACCTGAAGTCAGCAGTGGAGCCTCTTCTGTTTTAAAGGAGGATTTCCCACGGGGAGTTTCAGCTTCTTCCCTCCGGCTGGACGATTTTAGTCCCTAAATGGAGGAAAAGGTGCTTTAAAAACAGCTTTGCTCCTACTGCTGTTATTGAGATGAACAAGATGAAGGGACACCGATTCTCCCAGTGGATTTTATCGAATAGAATTTTATCCATATTTTTATTTCAACATATTCATATTAGTCTATTTTCAGTTTTACCTCCCTTTTTGGTGTCCTGCTTTGCTTTGAATTCAACATGTGGAGCTTTGAGCATTAATGGTTCTTTTTGCTGATGTGTTCTTATGTCTTACTGTGTAGCTATGCTTTGTACCACTGCAGCAAATTTACCTTTAAAACCAAAATCGGGAGCTAAAGTTAAAATATTGTCCAATAATATCCTCTCTAACTTTGAAATTTGTTTTTGCTTTAGAGTTTTTGAAAGGGAAATAAAACAGTATCCATAATGATGAATAAACACAACTAAGTTGCATTCAGTTTCATAAAATATATTTATATGTCAGATATAAAGCAATACATGAACTCATAAATGTAAAAAAAAATTAAATATAAAGCTATAAATCTATTAAATAGTTGAAGACAGAGGCCTCCTTTCTCAGATGTCTGTACAGTTTGTTTGTTTTTGTTTAGAAGTCCAGCAGTTGGGTTGGGTTAGCTCTGGTCCGTGGAGCCGTCGATGTCCACATCCGAGTCGGAGAACTCCTCGTCCTCCCCGTGGCCCTGAGATCCGGGACTTGTTGGCGGAGCGGCCAGGCCCAGTTTGGCCAGTTTGGCCTGCTGCTGCTCCAAACTCTGTTTGCGCCACTTGATGCGTCGATTCTGGAACCAGACTTTGACCTGGAAAGACAAAAACAATAATAAAGGGGCGCTTTAGAAACGTGAATAAATAATTGTTTTTTTTAATCGAAATATTATTTCCTGAGCAATAAGCTCCCACCTGAGCTTCTGTCAGCTGCAGAGCGGAGGCCAGGAGGAACCTCTCTGACCCCACCATGTACTGCTGCCGCGCGAACTCCTTCTCCAGCCGGGACAGCTGCTCGCTGGTGAAGCTGGTGCGCATCCGTTTCGATTTACCTCCTTTAGTTTTGAACGCGTGCAGCCCTGCGCTCGCTTTGGACGCGGCTGCTGCACAAATGAAACAGAAAACAGATGTGATCTCAGCGCTGAGCGTCTCGTTCGGTTCGGTTCGGTTCGGCTGTCACGTTCTGTTTAAGCTCCTACCTTGTGCGTAAAATGCGTCTCTGCAGGACGAGTGGTAGGCGAGCGGCGGGCAGCAGTAGAGGGAGTACCCGGGCTGCGGGTGGATGGAGGAGTGGAACACGGCGGGTGAGCAGACGCACGCCACGGGCACCRTGGGTAAGGCAGCGAGGGGCAGCGCGGACGCAGCCGCCTTGACCCCGCTCTGAGAGGGTGGACCCGTCGTGGTTTTCTCCTCCGGCTTGGCGAGCAAAGCCTCAATAGTGAAGGACTTCCAGTTGGACGGAGGTTTTGCGCACGGCCCGCGCGGCGACGCCGGTGCGTAATTACGCACGGGGTATCCGTAAAGTCCCACGTCTCTGCTCGGCGTCTGCATGTTGCAAAAACAAGATCTTTTTTTTTATAGGAAGTGACTTGTTGCTCCAGGCGCGAGGAATGGGGGTCTCTGCTGCACTGTAGGGCCTCATTTATACTCCGACAGCACAATGTGGCGTGAACAAGCCCCCCACTCCCCTCCTGCAGAGCCTTTGTCTTTCTAAGTAGCAGATGAGAGAAGCCAACATCCCGACAACGTATCCAATTAATTGGTGGAATTGTACCAGTCCCCCAATCCACCCACCCACCCAACACACACACAACACGACGGGCCTCCACTTTGAATGACGAGGTTCTTTTGAAGAGTGCGGGGGGGAGGGGGAGGAGGTGGGGAGCCGCTGAGAAGGCCTTGATGTTTTAAACCGTCTTACTGCGCGTCTTTAACGCAAATCACTTTTATTAAACACAACAAGTGCCACTGGACAAACTGTGCTGCACACAAACTTGAAAACCCCAGAAATAAAACAGCTGATAATGTGATAAGATAATAAAACTAAAAATCATAAAAAAATGTCAACTCTGCACTGCCTGTCTCATTTGATCCTCTGTGGATCAGCCTGGACCTCAGGACAACTAAAGACCTGTTCTTTCTGTTCAGTACTACTTTAATTAAATTATTCTATTTGTTATTACAGCGGGTAAAATAAGCATTGAACACGTCAACATTTTTCTCAGTAAATATATTACTAGAGG